TAAAAAAATATAACTAAACTAATCAGCTCTATTGTTCCAGTTTTTTTACACTCATATCTCACTGTGATTGTCTAAACATCTGACGATAAAGAATTCTTTTTTCTTCAATATTTCATTGAAAACAGTGTCGAGTATTTTGTGGTTTTTTTATCTTTAGAAGATGATCACAAAATATGATAAATATTTGGAAGAATCAATACTTTAAAATCCTGGGAGTACCGTGAAAATCCCAGGAGTACGGTGACAATCCAAAGAATACGAAAAAATCCAAGAAGTATTGAAAAACAAGTTTGAACATTTGCCCGTGTCTTCCAACGATAAATCGATTCTTTTCTCTCCTGTCAACAAAATGATTCCCTGCCGAATATTTTCATTGCGGAATATCCATTCGTCAAATCCCTTTCAAAATTATCAGAAGCCTGGCAAGATTATTCTAAGCGTACACTTTAGGATTAATCTAGCATTTAAACGCCTAGCCGCTGCCATGTTGTCTCTGTTATTCCTTTCGCCTTTTATTAACATTCAAACTGAATGATTGGACTTTCTTTTATTGTCACTTCGACTATCAAAAGAAACTAGATATGAAAGTCTTATTGTATGATTTGCTTCGAAACGAACATCTTTCATAGTGCTGCATGTGTTCAGAATACTGTATGTATAGTCCACGCATCTGTAGTTACTAAGATGAAATTTCACCGACGGCTATATCACTTTGCGAACTACTTCTACTAAATTCCCCTGAAAAGATATGATATTAAGCTCATATCACTTTTTCGGATTTTTTAAATTAGAAACATCATTATGTACAATGCATTAGATCTTTTCCTGTAAGCTCTTGAGCTGCTATCTTTGTACACATGACGTCCGTGAATAGCGTTCAGCTCACCATCCTCTACAAAAGATTTTAGAACAGATAAAGAAAAATATCTCTTTTGTAAAGAAGCAGGAACAAGCCCAGGCTCAGCGAATAAAACGAAATTCACCCTCAAATTCGAATTTCCCGACGTCAGAAATCCTTCGGCCTACTCTGAAAATGGATGCTAATAAGTCGTGGCCAGTTAATGAAAAATTAATAATTAATTAAGCAACACTAACCTCGGATTCGAGATCCTCGACCCCGATTACCCTTCGGTCGACCCTTATTCGACAACGAGGAAAACTTTGATTGCTTAATTAGCTAATGAGCTAATTAGAATTTTGAGAAACTAACCTCGGATTCGTGATCCTCGACCCCGATTACCCTTCGGTCGACCCTTACTCGACAACGAAGAAAACTTTGATTGCTTAATTAGCTAATGGGCTAATTAGAATTTCGAGAAACTAACCACGGATTCGTGATCCTCGACCCTGATTACCTGTCATCAGTCATTTTCTGATGATTTTGGTTAAGTTTTCATTGATTTATGAAATGCTGGAATCCGATTGCATTTTAGTGGCCTGATTTATGACGCTATAACCCTTTCTTTCAGAAAAGGGAATAAGATTCAAAGGGAAAAAGAACATGACACATGTATGATGAATAAAACAGATGACGTCATGTGATAACATCTGATCTCATGGATGAACGTATGATTGTATGACGTCATTATATAACGTGTTCTTTCAGAAAAGAAAACAATGATTAATATCTTTCTTTATCCGTCCTTTCTCGATTCGGCGTTCATTTTTCTCTCTTCGGTCACTTTCATTCAACAGACAGAAAGAACAAATGAAAACATGGACTGACGTTCTCTCTTTTGTATCTATTCTCTGTTCGTGTTCAGTCTATTCTAGACAATGGATAGTCGTCCATATAAATATACATCGATTTCCTTCACTTTCATTCGTATCAACAGCAATCGAGGCCTCGTTCAACAACGCAAACAAGCAATCCTGTCAAATCATACGTAAGTCCTCACTTTTGATACCGAGTAATGTGTCAAACATAATTATGTCCGTATGTATGTGTATTGCCTTTCTTGGATGGGTGTGTCCCCGCCATGTTTCATCATTACTGTCGCTATACAGCGTTCTACTCTGTACGCGCGCGCGCGGGTAAATCATTACTTTTTATTTCAAGTAAAAAAGGTACAGTAATCTTTTATTTCTTCACTGCTCTTTTACAAATTTCGATACTTTCTTTTACGTCTTTTATATCAGGATGATTCATCGGTAATGCACGTTGCCAAATGTCCAGAGCGCGTTCGAAATAGGTAAGTGCTTTCGAATAGTCCTTAGTGTTTCTGTAGACCCAGCCGATGTTGTTGTACGAAGTAGCCAACGAAGGGTGATTCGAAGGAAGAGTTTTTTCTCTAATTGCAAGTGATTTTTCATAGAATGAAAGTGCTTTCGAATACTCTCCCATGTTCTTGTACACCGCACCGATGTTGTTGTACGAAGTAGCCAACGAAGGGTGATTCGAAGGAAGAGTTTTCTCGCATATTGCAAGATCTTTTTCATGGAATGAAAGTGCTTTCGAATACTCTCCCATGTTATAGTACACCGCACCGATGCAGCTGTACGAAGTAGCCAACGAAGGGTGATTCGAAGGAAGAGTTTTTTCTCTAATTGCAAGTACTTGTTCATAGAATGAAAGTGCTTTCGAATACTCTCCCATGTTGTAGTACACCCCACCGATGTTGTTGTACGAAGTAGCCAAATCAGGGTGATTCGAAGGAAGAGATTTTCCCCAGATTTCAAGTGCTTTTTCGAAGAATGAAAGTGCTTTCGAATACTCTCCCATGTTGTCATACACCAAACCGATGTTGTTGTACGAAGTAGCCAACGAAGGGTGATTCGAAGGGAGAGTTTTTTCGTTGATTTCAAGTGCTTTTTCATAGAATGAAAGTGCTTTCGAATACTCTCCCATGCTGTCATACACCCCACCGATGTTGTTGTACGAATTAGCCAAATCAGGGTGATTCGAAGGAAGAGTTTTTTCTTCGATTTCAAGTGCTTTTTCATAGTATTCTATAGCCATTTTATAATCACCTTGCTGACTTTTCACGGAGCCAAGTTGATGATAATAATGTGCTCTGTCACTCCTGTCAGACGCTTGTCCCAGTAACGTAGTGTACAGTTCTTCTGCTTTATCCAGTTGTTCGAGTTTAAGCAATAAGTTGCCCAAACGTTGCCATCCTGTACTACCTCGAACTTCACTTTCAATACGATCTGTTAACACGCGGAGTTGTGGATCGTCATCAGCAGTCAACTGAAGTTGCACCTCATGGTAAAGTTTATTCTTGTCACCCACTTGTCGAATTTTGCCGACTCGAAACACGCTGTGCATGGAAAACAGGATCTCTGCTTCGTCTTCGAAATAACTAAGATCCCCAATTGATGCGAATGGAGTACTAGGAATATTCGGATCAATTGTAATCACGAACAGAACACCCACCTTGTCGGGATCACCGAGAGCGCTGTAGGTAAACACAAGAGATTTCTCTTGTTTGATACTGGTGGATAAAAAGTTGTTGAACGATAAAAGACCACCTACAGTTTTCGATAACTGGTCAAAATCTTTCTTATATAGCCCCTGCCCACGGTAGACTACGAAAGATTTTCGTCTGTAACTACTGACCTGTTCTTGATGCAGCCGTTGTATTTGTTTGTGTAAATCATGGAGAAAAAATCCCATGTTAATAATGACTTCGCCATCCAAAGTGCGAAGTGCTTGATTGAGCATTTGGTAGGTAAAACACTCGCGTGTATACCACCAAATGGCCTTGTCCGGACGATATTTACCTTCAAACTCATCGATAACCTTGTGCTCTTCGATGTTGTCTTGAAAACGCTGCCGACAGTAATTGGCCAGGTCTTTGATTGCTTGCTTGTCATGCTCCATGTCGAGGAGAATCTTCTTAAATATTTGCGTATACATAAAACTGGGTTCCAGTTGATTGAGATTGGCATTGGAACCCTCTCCTCTTGTGGTGACAAAACTGATGGCGATGGAATCTTGATTATATTGTTTAACACCCGTGGTCAGTGCTTCACAGATTTCTTTGATATTTGTGTGAATACCTTTGACTTTTGACCAGCTCTTTGTCCAGTTTTCATGTCTGGATTTGTTGCCACAGAAGATGTAGATGGCATTCACTTGTGAAATGCCGTGAATCTCGGGAACCAAGTGTTGCCCTAAGGATCCCGATGTGATGACGAAAGCTTTTTCGTCACCAATGCTTTTGAGGAATTGAAGGCAAGCATCTGGCTGAGTGTATATATTGACATCATTGACAACACTTCGTAGGTGTGTCAAAGTGTTCTGACAGTCTTGGTCCTTGTCATCGATGTTGGCATCCACCCAAACTAAGAGGTAGTTTTGAACCATGCGTTGTCGTGGTTGATTACCATGCTTCCTTGTCGTGGAACTTGATTTTGATTTTTGTGCGTCCATTCTAATGAATAAACTGAAATTCACAGTATTTGGTTTTTTTGTGAAAATGAAGAAATTCGCTTCTCTTTTTATATAGACAGCAAATGACGTCGTTCTCTTCTTGAATTTTGCGGAGACGAAAAGTATTTATGTTATTGTTTGAATCTTGAGCGAGCTTTTTCATAGTAAAATAAGCAAGGAAGAAAAAAAACATCAACACAAAAATCGCTTTAAGATGCTCGAAACAGGCGCAGCAGGTAAGAAGCCATTAACGAACTTTGGTTGTTATTCTTTCCCACTTTTTCTTGTCGGTAGTCTTCAGGCAAACTCATTCGAGAAATTGGGTGATTTCTTTTTCTGAAAGAACCACATTTGAGGGTGAGTAGAAACAAACCGGTTTTAATTCCACAAGGAGTATAATTTAAAACAATGGTTGTAGTTAATATGATCGAAAATCGAAAAATAAAATATCGAAAAATATTCTTTTATAGAAAATTAAAAAAGACGTATTATTTTTGTAGTAAATATTTTATTCTGTATTAAAACAAGTAGCGCTCGCCGTGCCGACTCACTTAACCTTCGACTGTGGAGAACTAGTATTTTTTCGTATCCGCAATGTGGCACAAATTGATCTAACAAATTTTTATACACGAAGAAACAGTTCGAATGTCTTGTGCAGATATATTTAGTAACTTTCGAAAACAAAATACTGAATTTTTGCTACTGTTTTTGGAGAGGTATAAAAAACCTCAATTTTATATTACCACTGCAATATGCAATAAGAAGAAAGAAACGACGACGCAATACAATAAGCACTTGAGCCACTTCAATCGAACAACATCGCAACCATACACAACATATCAAATGCGCTACGAAGAATACACAAGAGTAAAAAATATTGAACGTCAAACAGCAATCTTAGTGAGCCCTAAGTCAATCCCATTTTCCAGGCATCTTCACCCTCACCCACACCCACACCCACACTCACACCCACACCCTCACCCTCAACAAATCGACAAGAACTGAACACCTAACCTACATAAAATCCTCAACTACGGGAACAGATCCTGTGATCATCGGTTTCAGCCACCTACGTCCAGTCACCCAGCCCAAAAAAGAACCAATGAACGGTCATCCATGTTCATACATCAACCATTGTACTCACCCAAGAGTCCCACCCACGTTCATACACCCACCCATAGTTTCACCCAAGGCCCACCCTCGCCCCCCCCCCCCATCCGGGCTCGTTCTACGACTAGCACACTAGAAGTTTTCAATGTGTTGAAGGATTGTAGNTTCATTTGGCAAATCTTCAATCTTCGATGGTATTGTATTCGACATCTTACCAAATATCGGCCGAACAATGAAACGAAATTGCAAACAAATCAAGATGAAATAAACCTATCGAGATTGACAAAATGTGCAACGACTGTTATGTTGGTTTTTTCTGCGCCTTCTATATATACTGACTACTTTTGTGTTCTGAGAGAACGCAAGAAAAAAAAGTAAAAAGTCAATCTCTTGCGTTCTGCCACGCATAATATGCGATACGACAGCGGTATTCAAGAAACGAAAATTTTTTCCGGTTTATGGTAGGTAATGTGTGGACGTATATTCATGAGCGAAACTATCAACCACATTCCCCTTATGAACATATGCATTATTACATATAACAATTCTTTTTTCTTTCCTAATATATGCATAGAAATCGTGATACAAAAACAGGTCAATAGATTATGATAGAAAGACGGACAAATATATATCTCATGCAAGTTGATCATTTTTTTTCTATAAATGAGGAAAATAGAAGTTTATTATCTTAAATTTATTTTATTCTATAGACTATTGACAGGTCTGATATTTATTTTTGTGTATTAAATTATCATCTATTTTATTAGTAGTTCCAGCAACTGATGACGATACATCATGTTACAGAATGATTGAGTATGGTCAATGTTCGACTAATGATGATTGCAGATATCTTTTGTTGGTACTTTCGGATACTCGTGGTATTTGTGAATTTCTTTTGGTAAATTGTTCTCTTTTCGAATCATGTAAAAATTTAAATGGTCACTAAAAATTCTGATCATATATGTATTCATCATTCTCGATGTTATAACACACCTATATGTTATCCGTTGATATTGATTGACCAACGAATAAGTCCACCAAAACAAAGTAAGAATATATTTCGAAGTTTTAATTGATTTTCAAACGATTATTTAACCACATATTCTATCTTTATTTTGTTCAGAAGAAACATGCCAGAAAACAACAACAATAGCAGCATTAACGTTAAAAATAGCCGGTGAGCGAGTGAATGAGAGGAGTATGCCAAATGCATCCTTTCAAACGAAAGCTAAAGATGATATTTGTGCTACAACAACATGGTCTCGATATGGTATTACTTTACTTGGTGGTAAAGGAACAGAATCATCGTCTGTTAACCTTAATTATTCTCGAGGAATGTTTATTCGTGCAAATCAAACACTTTATATAGTAGATAATGGTAATTCTGGGTCGTAATCATTTTGCCGACAATCATATTACCGACGATCACTTTGCCGACGGATCTTTTTATCTGATCTTCTATAGTCATCATTATTTTGAGGATCAGAACTTAAATGAGGGTGCAATGAAAAACCTAATTGAGGGTGCAGGGAAGCGCTAAGGTGAGGATATGATGGATGTAGCATAGCTTGCTGAAAGGTGGCTGTAGCATCATTCACTTCAGGCTATGGTTACAAGAAGAAATGTGTTTTGGAATTTTTGACAAAAAGATGTGTCGGCAAAACGGCGTCGGCAAAGTGTAGCGAACCCGTTCTGCGAGAAGAGAGCGACGAAGCTGTGTATAGCATAGAATATCTACAATGAACAAATTAATCAAAGAAGATCGAAAGATAATTAGAAGACATTGATCTGCTTAGAATAAGAAGACGAAAGTGGAGTTAAATAAAAGAAAATGTGTGCTTCTATCTTCTATTTACGAGTTCAAGTATTTATCGATTTCGAAAATCGATAAAACGATGTAGTCTAAGAGAAAGATCGAGGTCCAATTATGAATCAACTATCTATCTTAGCTAAAATTAAGAAATCATCGGTAATTCTCAGGCTATAGTGAAGCTGGAAAAATATGATGCTTTTGGATTAATATTGAATTAAAACAACACTAGGAAAAATTTAATTCAAGTCGTAATCTATTTAAAAAAATTATGAAATAAAATCATTGATTAACACTATAATAGTGATTCTTCTACTGCGATGATTAGATATTTTCGAATCGATTTGTATGTTATTTCATGGATATATGACTTGAAAAAATCGTTAACACATACAGAGAAAGTCAATAGAATACAAACGAGAAGAATAAAACGTATGAATCAGTTCGTAGTTTGAAGTATATGAGGGTATCTATCCAATCAATATCTGTCCGATGTTAGTATCGAAAATGTCATTGAAACTCCTTCTCATTTCGCACTACGTTTCGCTCATTCTTTCGTCATGCGGTGGATGATATTAAATATTATGGGGAATTCCGTTGAAATTTTGTAGTAAGCTTTTCTGTTATATTATGGGTGGTCATTAGTTAAAGATTTCAAGTGCGTTTATGTTTAGAATACTGTTTAGATAGTTGACTGCTAATGAAGAGATCTCTGATATTTCGTTTTATGTAAATCTGCATAGTGTTGTTTTCTTTCTCGTAGAGAAAAGTCTTAGAAACATAAATTGTTTGCTTGCTTGTGTGCCCGCACTTCACTGATTGGTCGAAAAATCAGATAAAACTAATAATCTAAATCTCTTCCTTAGACGTATGGCATAGGGGTTTTTTGGGTCGAGGAATTCGAATCTGATGTTAGTTTTTTGAAATTTTTTACTAAACCAAGTTTTTTTAGACAAAGGCCCATTTTTTATGAAAAATTTTTTTTTCAAAGAACACATTGAAAATAAATTAATATGCACAATAACATCTTTAAAATGTAACTGCTGAAAGGAATATTTTTACGAGAAAGAGCTGAGCGAGTCGCTAGACGAGCGTTACTAGTGATAAAATACCATTACAAATGGAAAACTAGCTAATCTGGATATTTTTCGATATTTAGATAGGTAATTTTCCTTCGTAACAGTGTATTTAGCTTAAGTTTGATTATTAGACATTATTTTATTCTTGAAATAGTGTTTTTTGATCATTTAAAGTACAAAGCCATCTGAGGAGAACTTTAGCTGGAATGAAATCGCGATGATGGCAAGCTTTGACTCACCTTCACACCCTCAAGATGGCGAATGCGGCACAATTTTTCTAAAATTTGAGCTGTTTTGCGGCTTTTTAGTGTTTTGTAGGGTAAGAAAGGGTTTTTCCAAACTATTTTTTGGAAGCAATAACGTCCATAGAGTTGGATCCGGCGCACAGACGAAGTCGGAACCAGGATATCCGACGTAAAACTGCCTGTTGCTTTTTGTGCAACCTCATATAAAACGAAACGCTGCTTGGTCATGTCATGAGAGAGTGAAGCGTTACTGCAAACACTTTCGAGCTGACCTAACTAATTTTACGTTTTCGGGTGAATATGTAATCTATCCATGCGGTTCAATGCAACATAGGGTACCGTATTCGAAAAATCATCCTTACGTCTCACATTGGTATTTGCGTGTCTCGTACGATTGACCAGGTGTTGATAGTCGCATCAGTCTATTATTGTAGATATTGATCTTGACGAATGAAGTATTTTTATTCGTTCCTAGTTTACTTATCGTCATCGTTTTTGGGGAAAAAATTATTGAGTGAGATTATCAACATGTGTTTAGCATTGTATATAAACGAGCTAACCGAATACAGTTATAGTGAAGTTAAGACGAAACTAAAACAACGTTGCAGGTAATCGTTAACAATGGTATTCTTTTTATATTTTGTCACCGGTTCGTAGGTTTTCTCGACTTTATTTCAATTATGTTCACTCTAAGTTCTTTTTACAGTTGTTTTATGGACATCGTTTCACGTAAGCGGAAAAGACAACAATATCATCGACAAGAAACGTTTAATTACAGTTGATTCGCCTTTGCCTGTTGAATCGCGATGCAACCCGGGTGCATTTTCTGGAAACCGTGGCGGATGTTCGAGTAACACCGATTGTGAATGTCATTCGCTTACAAATGGTCAAGGGATTTGCGCCTCAATAATGATCTCTTGCTCGACCCTAACGCCGTGTGAAGTTGACCGATCGACATGCCTCCGTCCAAATACTGTCTGCATACAAAATCACAGATGTAGCAACCGGCCCGTGTGCTATCCAAAAGCTCTTGCTGACCTTGCTGTTTGCCCATCTCTTCCCTCAACGAATCAATCAATTGTTACAGGTAAGTGTTTTCCAATGAGAGTTATCTGTTGAGCGCTTTATTCCATATTTTTGTCGGGTTGTCTTTTGAGCAAACCACCCGAGGTGATTAACGGGTTTAGATTTCATCTATTGGTGGTAGATAGTCCTCGATGAGGTATGAAAAGACTCAAAAGGATTCGTGTCCATGGACCTTTTATCTAGAGTTATAGACGTTTTACTGAAATTTTCAGAGCATTGTTCCTATCTACAGACTAGTCTGTAACCAAAGTTTCAATTCTAAATACTAATATTTGATCTGTTGGTAAATACCTAGCTATATGCAAAGATTTCAGTGAAACGTGTATAACTCTAGATAAAAGTCCCATGGGCACGGTTCCTGTCAAGGCTTTTCAGACCTCATCGAGGAATATCTACCACCAATGGATGAAACATAAATCCGTTAATCACCTCGGGCGGTTCCCTTATTAAATTCTATTTTAAAATTCGCAATACTCCGCTGACTTTTGCATTGATGGTGAGGCAGGATGAAAGGACCGAGAAACAAGTGATGACATCGCACTCATTCCTCCGTGAAAGGATAACCTTTCACCTAATGTGAAATCAGAGCATTTCGTCGTCTGGACTCCTTTTCGTTACATCATTATGCATTGGTAAACAATCATGGCTCCAAGTATTTAACTTAATCATTTGGAGGAAAATAACGGAGGTCTTTCTGAATTCAGAGAATATCTTGTAAGAGAATATCGAAAGAGGAATAAGTTACTGCGATGCTCCGATTAAAAACCTAATTCATTTGTCTTTGAAAAATGTGAAACTCAAAGTGAAACCTTGAGTTGTCGTATTTTATTCGTGTTATGTTCTTCATGCAAGTTTCTTTATTACACAATGTGACGTCTTTCTTTTAAAAAATGTCAGTAAAGCGATTACCAAACATCTCTTTGATTAGCAAAAAATGGTGAGGTCTGAATATAATGTAAAGGAATACTATTTCGTTCAGCTCCAGTGTATCAAATTATTTTTGCAGGCGTCAGGATACTCGAGACCAAAACGAATATAAGGCGATTATTAAATAAATCTGCATACACCTTAAAATGTTGCTCCATCACAGTGATTATACCCTGATTGTTCCTGATGTCGTATTTTCTGATTTATGTTTTGCTCAAGAGTTTCTTATACTTGAAAGTAAAGTAGGTAATCGATTAGAGCATGTATACTTAGCTTCCAGATACGTTAAAAGTCGCTGAATAATAGGGAAAATGCATTTTCCCTTTGTTTACAGAACCATCGTTGAGCATCAAAATCTGCGACCAGGCTATATGGAATCAGCCCAAAAGGGTGCCATGGCTTCGTTACGGATTTGATCTTTGGATTCAGTATCCAGAGGATATTTTCATTGATAAAAATCAGACAGTATTTATGGCGGGACCAGGCAATGATGCAGTCGGTCGATGGGAACTGAACGCAACACACGGTGTTATAGTAGCTGGTGGTAACGGTGCAGGTAATGCTAATGACGAGCTGAGAAGACCTAAGAGTGTGATTGTCGATGCTAACGGAGATCTTATCATTTGTGATAGTGGAAATAGGCGCATAGTCAAATGGCCAATGGGATCTGATCGTGGGGAGACGATAATTGACAAATCAACACCGAACTTTACTGGCTGCGATAAATTGATCGTAAGTAAATCAGGCACGATTTTCATTCAGGACGCGGGTCGCTTTCTAAAATGGACCAGCAACATCACAGGAAACTACATAGAGCTGATAAGAAATGTAAGTGGTGGTAAATCTTATTTTCTGTCCAGTTCCGGGGATGTCTATGGAGTGAGTGAACCCAATGGCATCAAGAAATGGGCACTGGGCGATGATACAGGCATAGTTGTCGCCGGTGGCAGTCGCAGGCCAGGCAATCAATCGCATGAGCTTTATGATCCAACTGCAGTAATTGTCAATGACGAAGGCACAATGTACATCTTCGATAATGGAAATCACAGGGTACTTCAATGGCGCGCAGGTGCTACGGAAGGAACTGTTGTTGCTAAATATTCTAATAGCATCAGTAAAGTATTCGGTATACATGACGGTGGTCTCTACTATAGCGTGCACGGTTACGCCAACTACGTATATCACTTTCCAATTGACACAAGTGCATGTGGTAAGTTGAAATACTTCTTACTCGACTAACTTGTTAACATTTTGCCTCGATCTGGTTTGACTGTTGTTCACTTTACAATCCATCTTCTAAATCGAATTATATCTAATGTATTTAATGTGCAGAATCCTAAATGAAGTTTCTGAAGCTGTTACCTTCAAAAATTATCTTTTCTTTGCTAATGAGGAGAGACTCTAATAAAGACACTAGATTGTTAGACTTCTACATCTTTGCAGGTCGGCAAATCAACACAACGGCGATACATATTGAAGGGAGCATGATCGGCTGATTAGTTTCAGTGATGCAGAAAACGAAAATCTTATGCAAGCTAAATAATTTTTGCGTCATTTGTGAGTGCGTCATATGTTCTGCGAAAAATAAATTTATTTAAAAACTTACAGATACTAGAGTTGATTTCACCAGAGAAATAAATGTGGAAACCTCGAATTCAGATCCGAGTCTTATGTGTACTTCAAAAAGCTACAAACTATATTCATCTCTGCATTTTATTATTTTCAAGATCCGTTCATGATTTATGCCATTTTTGATGTTTTGAAGCGGCATATTGATGAAGTCATTACTGTTTCTAAACAAGCCAGTGAAAAGATAGTTATTGTTGCTGATTTTAATATAGATTTGAAGCCAAACAATAATCACAAATTTATTGATTACATGACATCGTTTGGATTTACTTTAATTAGTCAATTAAATAAAAATTTCGACTAATGCTAAGACACAGATTGACTATTGTTTCGCTAATGTGAATGACTTGAAATCTGATTATTTTGAAAGTCTAACAAGTTTTTATAAACCAATACGGGTGAGTAAACACAAATTTTTGACTGAACTTCATCTTAATGAAACCGAAGACTTTCACACAATTATGTCTTGCAATATTGACAATACTATAGATACTGATCACTCTGATGCAATGGAAGTTGATAATAAATTTGCTTTTGATCACCATGAAACAGTCGATGACAACGAACAGATTGACTTAGGTATGTCTTTGCAACTAGAAGATCTTAGCTTTAATGAAACATCTGATATGATGGAAATTGAAGAAAGCTGTTTCTCAGAGAACTTTGAAATTATTGATTCCGGCCCAGGAAAATTCTAGATAGCTTTCTTCTTGAATTTAATTTCGATAATACCATCAAGACTAATCAATTTGTGGGTCAAGTTCGAATAATCAGCGATCTAATTAAAAAATCACCGTTCATAAGTATGCAAAATAAAGACGATTCTGTGCGGTTAGAAACAAGAGTGGAATATCCTGTTCGAGCATTCGATTCAGTTTATACTCGGACACGTACGACAGGAGATGGAAATTGTTTATATAGTTCTCTTTCGATATTGAATGTTGGATCTGAGAAACTAACACATTCGATGAGATTGTTGGCAGTTAATACAATGACAACGAATAGGGATTTTTTCCAAAGACTTTGTAGCATATTAGGATATACCTTTGAAGAGCAGTTACAAAGAAGAACTGCGACACATACAGTACGGGGAGGAGTGCAAATTCAAGCTCTATCGATCGTATTATCTCATCCTATATATTCATATGTAAAGTTTAACAGTAATCCTGATCCGAAAAACACAGTTTATTCCGTCAAATATTAGCCTTCAGGAACAAATTCGTCGATTTAATGAAGGGACAGCAGGTGGTCATTTAATATATCTTGGATGTGAATCCCACAGAAACAAGACAGGATTTTGCCTTTATTATAACGGTAGTCATTAGGATGCTCCTTTGTCTCTTCAGTATAACCCAGGTCGAAGAGTCCGGCCCGGAACTGACTAGTTCCAGGGCCTTCCGGGGATTTCATGGAAGCAGCATACATGTACAACTCGAAACTTGAATTCGAGTATTCAATTATTATACTTGAATAGGATGTCGGTAGGGGAGGGTGATGCGCGGTATCATCTGTGTGAGGATGTTGAGGGGTTATCGTGTAAGTAGCGCTGAGTTGCATGACTACTGTGGGAAAGCGAAGGTGAAAATATTGGGCAAAGCTATCGGGAACATTATGCATGCAAAGTTGGCTTCGTGTTAAATTGAGTTGAAGAAAGTGTGGTGACAGAATCGCTAATACCCGATCGATAGGGGCGCTGCACTTCGCTGTGTTGTTGGTTCATATATGTATATGTGGAGAAAAACGTTTCTTTGCTCGCTATGCGTTTAGTGATTGTAATAGCTATCGTGGTGAACTATCCGTCGACACGTCATTTGGCCCATAGGAGTCTTGACATCTAGTTTGTTGCGAAAATAATATAACACGCGGTCGCTAGCAGCATCCTGTGCATCTGACTTATATGAGACGGGAACCCCATAGATAGCGAAAGTTGGTAGCGAAGGCGGCCGAAGGCCTTCTGAGCGCTCGACTAAAGAGACCGGTAGCGAAGAGGGCCGAAGGCCTTCTGAGCGCTCGTACCCAAAAATCGAATACTGGGACAGTCGAATAGTTGAATACTCAAATAATTGAAAAGTTTAACTATTCAAGTATAATAATTGAATACTCGAATACTCGAATACTCGAATAATTGAAAAGTTCAAGTATTCAAATTTAATACTCGAATACTCGAAGAGATAGTTGAATACTTGAATTCAAGTTTCGAGTTTGACACTACTGATCTTTTGGTGGTAGATAGTTCTCGATGAAGTATGAAAAACCTCAAGAGGATTCGTGCCCATGAACCTTTTATCTAGAGTTATAGATCTTTTACTGAAATTTTTGCATATAGCTAGATATCTACCAACAGATCGAATATCAGTATTTAGAACTGAAGCTCTGATTGCAGACAGATCTAGATATAGAAACATTACCCTAAAACTTTCAGCTCTAAGAAAGACGTCCTTTTCAAAATATTAAAGTTTGAAACAAGGAACAATTCTAGCATCTTTTCTAAGATATGGGTGATTTTTTGAAGTTTAGTATTTTGGAAAGGACGTCTTTTTTAGAGCTGAAAGTTTTAGGGTAATGTTTCTATATCTAGATCTGTCTGCAATCAGAGCTTCAGTTCTAAATACTGATATTCGATCTGTTGGTAGATATCTAGCTATATGCAAAAATTTCAGTAAAAGATCTATAACTCTAGATAAAAGGTTCATGGGCACGAATCCTCTTGAGGTTTTTCATACTTCATCGAGAACTATCTACCACCAAAAGATGAAATATAAACACGTTAATCACCTCGGGCGGTTCCCTCGTAAGTGTTTTTTTCTTCGAAAATCCCTGTACTCCCTCTCAAGGGCGGATGGATCATTTTTTCAGAATTTTTGGAATAAATGTGACATTCTTGACCGATTAGTCTCATCTTCGAACTCGACCTAGATATTGAAGAGACAATTCTGGAGGGACAAATTGGGCTCAATTGAATGTAATTTAAGAGAGTTATCCGATAAACGGACGGACATGGTGACCGATTCTAGAGGTGTACTCACTTTTTGAGTACACAAAAACCAGAGTGTATTGTTCATTACAACGAGAACATGGGGTTAGTTGACAAAACTGATATGCCGATCAGTTTTGTAAAATGCATCCGAAAAACTGTTAAGCGGTATAAGAAATTCCTCCTCCATCTATTTGATTTATCAACATTGAACGCATATATTCTCTTTCTCGTAGAGAAGAGTCTTAGAAACATAAATTGTTTGCTTTCTTGCTTGTGTGTTCGCACTTCACTGATTGGTCGAAAAATCAGATAAAACTAATAATCTAAATCTCTTCCTTAGACGTATGGCATAGGGGTTTTTTGGGTCGAGGAATTCGAATCTGATGTTAGTTTTTTGAAATTTTTTACTAAACCAAATTTTTTTAGACAAAGGCCCATTTTTTTTTATGAAAAAATGTTTTTTATAAAATTTGACCAAAAGGTTTTTAAGCCCGAGAAACACGAATCTGAGGTTAGTTTTTTATATCCTTTCAGAAAACTTTTTTATAAGAGTTGACTGGAGGGTTTTAAAGGCCACGGAATCGGAATCTGGTACTATGCTTTTAAAATTTTTTTATGAAAAAATTGCTTTTCAAAGAATACACTGAAAATAAATTAATATGCACAATAATATCTTTAAAAGGTAACAGCTGAAAGGAATATTTCTACGAGGGAGAGCTGAGCGAGTCGCTAGACGAGCGTTACTTGTCTTTTCTTGGATGAGGAGTCAATGATATTATGTGCTTTCTCGGTCTGCTAGGTATTTTCTTAATGATCATTGAAAACGAAGTGACATTCAATCGTTTTGATCACAAAGATACCACATTTAGTTTACTTATAAAATCAACAATTACATTTACGACAATCGTTCTCGTTGGTCTCGTGTTTTATTATCATCGAATTGATTTAAGTCTCTATTGTGTGGATAATTCAATCGATGATTGGCGTATTGCATTAACACGTACAAAGATACTCTCAATTATCTTCGAAGCCTTTGTTTGTATGATCCATCCAATCCCAGGACATTTCCTTGTCGAATGGAGTTCACAATATGTGAAAAAAGTCGGAACAGATATCAATTTTATCAATCCGTATCGTTCCACCCAACAGCACTCAATTCTACACTAGCAACAACGACAACAACAACAACACAAATGACGACATCAACAATTAACACAAACGACGAACCACAAGCATTTGTACCGATCGATGTGATGTTGAGTTTACCAAGTGAGATAAAAACTTATAAAAAAAGCGAATATGTTTTCAGTTCGATTTAGTGTTTTGTCGGTTGTATCTAATTGCTCGATTTATCATGCTCCATTCCCATCAGGGCTGGAGCCGGTTAAAAATATTCCCACCGTTCCGATCCGACCGGTTTCTATCCCATGTTCAACCGGTGAAATTCCGGCAAAAAATGGTGTTACTTGTAAAAAACATTTTTCATAAAAGGTGATTTTCAAATGCGAAATAAGTTAGCACTGCAGAGAATGTAGTTTTTCTCATATTCTTCTTTTCTAGGCTAAGATATATATCTTCAAATTTTATTATTAATTTACATTGCCGATAATTTGGAAAAGGTCTATATAGATATATTGATAATGTATTTTTTTACCTTCTCCATACAGAAATTCGGAAGATACATTGTGATAAAAAATTAATTTTTATAAATATCAACCGGTGAATTTCCGGCTCCAGTGCTGCTTCAGATTAGTTCTATCGAATTACTCGGAAATGACGCCATCAGCGGATGCGAGAAAACAGGATGTTAAATTTATCAAGGTAAAAACCGAACCAGAACCAACCATTCCAGCACCCGAGATGATAATAACCAACGGAAAACACGAATTTTTATTGTTATTCAAGCCGGCAGAAGTCGATTTCGAATACAAACTCAACGTAAGTACTTTGGAGAAACTCGAGTATCTGTCATATCGAGTCAAACTGAATTTCGGCGAATGCAAGTGGGCAGGTAAAAGGAAACTACACGAAACTATGTACAAATTTTGGTTCGTTTAATAGACGCTCTCGTAGATATTGCAGAAATCGAAATACTCAGCAAATTAAACGATCGCCTTCGGATGATCAAAGCGTGAGTAATCTATCTTGACAATAAAATAAATTCTATATCATTGATTTTCTCGATTTAACAGAGAGGTCACAGTACAAACAAATCTTCAACAAACAAGAGAAACTATTTCGAAAGCAATAGCTATTGGAGGTAATATTTGCCATGTTTCTTGGCATTGCAAACTTTATCTGCTCGTTTTAGTGGAAAAGAAGAAGAAAAACAAATATGACCAACTATTGAAGTTTATCGACGAGACAAATATCATCGATCACTCAGAAAGTAATTTCCTAAGCAATAATCATTCTTTTTCTAAGAACATGATGCTTGTGTAGAAGAAGAAAACATGCCACCTCTGAAAAGAACAAGAATTAGTTCAACAACAACCAATGGCAGCATCTGATCTCTCGGTGATCTCGATGGATATACACATGATTTTGTAATGACAAATCAAATCGTCGAAGTTGTTACTCCTTGTACTCTACGCTAGTCTGGGCAGATTCGTTGGATAATTCAATTTTTCTATTGAATAAAATTATTTACTTTAGTGTTAATCTATTTAATCATGACAATCTTATACACATTTGAACATCATATCCTTTAGTGCTTTGTAATCAGCAGTTTTTCGTTGAATACTTCCAAGCAATGAATAATATACAAACAGTATGTCTGAGAAGTACTACGAGAAATGCATACATAAGATCAACAGAAGGACGGATGAAAACGAATTTTGTTACCGAATATCCGACTCTTTGGCTGAGTTAACCTGCATGTATAAGTTTTGCATCAACTTTGAGACAAAGTTCTCATGTTAATATTCCCAAGCTTAATAACGAATATTAATTTTTCCGCTATTCATTTCGTCCACTTGGTATCAGCTGTGATTGAGATTGTCATAGAGTAGACAAACTTTTACATCAGATTACTGTTCTAATTCGAATGAATAGGTATTTGTTCAGCAGTACTTATCAGAAAAACGAACAATCATTTATACACCAACACCAACGCTACATGGTGTATATTTCACGACATAACTATCGTCCTTGAATAATGACCTCATTTTATTACTCATTACAATGATCATGGCGAAAAAAACGCACATTTGCACATTGTTTTACTATTTATTATTTACTGCACTGATTGACACTATTTAGATATCCAACCAGTGTTTATCAATACATTATTGAAGAGTAGAAAATAACGACGAAATGGTTCAGGAAGATCGAGACATTAGCTATACATCTAACACACAATATGAGCGAAATCGACTGGATGTTTATTATTCAAATAATGGTGCACAACGCGATGTTCTCGTATTCTTTTTTGGTGGCGCATGGGAAAGTGGAAGAAAAGAAACCTATAGATATATTGGACGAAACTTCACTCGGAAAGGTCTAGTGACAGTAGTTGCTAATTATAGTTTAACGCCTGCTTCAATTTTTACAATGGTTCAAGAATGTGCTGCAGCTGTTATGTGGGTATATCAAAACATTTCCGCCTACGGAGGCAATCCTAATCGAATATTTCTAATGGGCCATTCAGCTGGCGGTCACATGATCGCCCTACTTAACTCTGATCCACGGTATTTTCGCCCATATGGACTTAGAAATCCAATTTACGGAATTATTCTACTTGATGCATTTGGTCTTGATATGTACGAATATCTTAGTCAGCCGTCGTCAAGAAATGATAGATACTACAATACATTTATACAAGTGTTTTCACTGGATCCAAGAAATTGGAAACGAGCTTCGCCAATACGTTATATAAGAAATATAAGGAATCCGCATTTGATTTTAGTTGGTGAAAGAACTTACCCATCAATTCAAATGCACAATCGACATTTCTTCGGGATTTTGAGAAATTCTCAGCAAGCTCCTGTCGAATTCTATGAAATTCCACGACGCAATCATACGGCAATGGTTGCTTATATGTATTTTAGTAGAAATCAACAATATGATATTATTTTAGATTTTATGCAAAGATATTGAATTATATTTTTCGTATTAAATATACATGCAACTAGGAATGCTTATATTTTCATACAAAGATACCTTTCTATATGCATTTGTAGTATAGTGAAGTAGACTTAATTCATTTCTTCTTCTTTCATGTTAAAGTCTAATAGAACACCCACACCTTCACACACCCACCCTCAATGACTCACTTCATTTATTTCGTTTCGATTGTGTGATCATATTTTAGACGTAGAAAAGCAATAAGTTTATGAAATATAGTTTCATTATGTTATTTCGACATAGTATGAATGAATCACATCCATGTGACACGTAATTCAGGTGAAAACGGAAAGTAGTCAACAGATGACTAAATCACTGAAAGATTTGTTTTTGTCCACGTACCGCTGTCAATGTGTCTACTACAACGTGGCAATGTTAAAAAGCTCGTTAAATACCAATGTTCAATGAATATTTTTATGAAAAAACTCTAATCAATTCACAATATGGGTATTTTTCTCAGTCGAATGTACGAAGCTTTGTCTTCGTTTACTAGTGGAGAACCAGCACGAATTTTAATGCTTGGTCTTGATGCTGCTGGTAAAACAACAATTTTGTACAAACTTAAACTTGACGAAAATCTTCAAACAATTCCAACCCTTGGTAAATTTTCTGTCACCAATGATAAAGTCAT